TGATAACCATTCAGTTAATCACAAAAATAGATTTATCTCCAACAACAATATTTTGATGCCGCTGGATTTCTGCGCACTCACAACTAAAAAGATTGGGATCTCTATTGGTCTTGCAAATATCATTTCTATATCTCTATTTATTAAGCCTAGACAAGAAAAGCACTAATTATCTAGATACTGTTTAAATTCGATTGACAATTGAATCGTTATTTACCCAACAGCTGGATAGATATCAAATTTGGAAGATTTCGACATAGAACTTTCAAAGAATACTGTTTGTGTCCAGATAGTATAGACCACAAACTATTGACCGGATCAAGGGAATTGATGTTATTTGACTCTATGCTAATTGGGATTATATTGTTACTGAAAAGACAAACACATTAATATAAACTGCATTTGATAAATAAACTACTATCTGCGATAGCCAACCAAATTTACTTAACTTTTTTTCCCCCAATTTCCTATAACCTTGACTGTTAGGGTGCAATTGCAATATCAGAAACCATATTTGTCTTAAAAGACAAATATGGTTTCAACAGGATATTTATACTGGAAACATACGAATACTTTTTTTTAAATCAATTCACCTAAAACATGGCGATAATGTCACTAAGATTCAAGGGATTACTGAGAGTGAAAGAAAATAATAAGACTTTATAAAAAACCGGAAACCCAATCTTAAACAAAAAAAAACAATAGCTAAACCTATATTGTGGTTCAAAAGACGGAGAAGGAGTGTAAACCGGGTGATTGGTGAACATGTAATCCTATTTCAGAAAACATAAATATATATAAGCATATAAAAGATTGAATTCTTTTAAAGGACAGTAATTCATTTATCAAGCTGAAGTACTTTCGGACCTTGGTAAAAATGGCAAGATTTGAATGGCAGCTGGTTATAATGGCAGTAAAACAATTCATTAGTCAGTAATATGAGGATTTCACCGTCAGTTCTTCGAGACTGAAGGTTATTTACAAGCCTCAAATGTCTTAGTATGTTTCAAATCTTATTTTTTGTAGAAAACAAGTTTCAATGAATTTCGCTGTTTAAATTTCCTTGTCGAGAAATAAAGAAAAGGCCTCCAAAAGGCCTACTTATTGTTCCTGCATACATTATTACGTTTAGGTAAGTAAAAGATACCTGCTGATTGAATTATTAGTACAATTAAATCATAATTGTATAACTTCATTGTTGATTGAATTTCTGCCTAATTTATTCCACTTCTTGATGAAATATATCAATAAGAAATGACTATTTTCTAATTTGGGCTGTCAAATAAAAATTCTTATTGTCGTTATTCACATGATAAATAGTTTTTGTGAATACAGTAATTAACGGAAATAAAATATTAACGCAAAAAGAAAACAATATACACTAACTGGTCGCTTTATTAAGCATACTCTTCTAATATGTGGTTGGACCTCTTTTTGACTTTAGAATCTCCCCAATTCTTCTTGGCATGGATTCGACCATGTTCTGGAAGCATTCATTCGAAATTGGTGTCTATTCTGTTATTATGACCTCCCTAAATTCCTGATTGGTTAGCTGCATATTCATGATTAAAGACTCCTTTCTACAACGGATCAAGATCCGATGTTTGTGGAGCCTAATTTAAAACAGAAAATTCATTCGTGTGTTCCATGAACCATATTTGATTTATGACTGCTGTAACATATTTGATTTGTGACATTACTGTAAGTGTACATCATAGTCATAAACTGAAGCACCTGGTCAGTCCCAAAACGTAGGTAGGCTGCGGTATTAAAACGATCTTTTATTGATACCCAGGGTCAACAATGCCAAGAAAATATTGCACATACCATTACACTGCAACAAGCAAGTCAGTTGTTTGCGACAAATCTTGGTCCTACCAATCGAATGTCGGAGGAGAAATCGACTCATCAGACCAGGCAATACTTTCTAGTAATAAATTTTGGCTAGCAAGAGTGGCACCTAGCATGTTTTTCCGCTGCTGTAGCTCATCTGCTTCAAGGTTCGAAAATTGCGCGTTCAGAGAGCTCCTTCTCTATACCACCGTTCTAAAGCAAACAATCTGCTCATTCTTTTCCGATCACTTTCATCAAAGATGAGTTTTCACCTAAAGAATTTCCACTTCCTGAATTTTTTCTCTTTCCGATCATTCTCTGTAAACAGCAGAGATGGATAAGCGCGAAGATTTTAGAAATCAGTAGAAATACACGGACCCTTATGCGTTTAAAGTCTCTTAAATTGTCTTTCTTTCTCATAATAATGCATCGAATGAACTTCATCTGGCCGCTATTATTATATATAAATGCCTATATCCATTAAATTGCGTTAATAGCTGATTAGAAATTTTCGTAAAAGAGAATTTGTTCACGTGTACTTAATTAAATGGTTAGTGGATGTAAATTTAACGTTTCTGGTAACTACCCAAAAATTGGCAACATATTTGGGTAGAGGGAATTATTCAGTGAAATTCTTTTCAAGAGACAAAATATTTTCCCAGCGTAATAATAAAAGGGGAATTGAAGTTTTACACTAACATTAACAAATAGTAAGTGTTAACGTTGAAAGTAAATTCACCATCTTTTCCCTTGGGTGATAAAACATTCTTACACTATCGCCTCTGAGAGAGAGAGAGAGAGAGAGAGAGAGAGAGAGAGAGAGAGAGAGAGAAGAGAGAGAGAGACAGGCAGACAGACAGACAGACCAGACAGTGGATTTAGTGCAGAATTTAAAAAAAGTTTATATGCTTGATTTTTTATGTTAAATTTTGAAAGAGGTCGGTTAATTAAAAGATCGAATGTATTTTTCATAAATGACATGCGTTTATAATAGAATACATGATGGGTTTTATCTATCATTTTGTCTATTTGCCAATTTCAGCAGTTAAAAACTCTAACGAATATTTAATAAAAGCCTGGGGTTCGCATTTAACAGCCAACGAATACCGTATTTCGACCCAATATACTTATTATAATATGTGGCCTTAAGCAGTTCCAGGATTGAGACAGGTGTAATAAGATAACGAGTTAAATAGATTTTAGAGAATTTAGTACCACTCCTATCAAATAGCACCCGTGAAACGAAAGCAACACTGAGATCTTTACAAATAAATGAAAACTATAATAGTGCAGACATACTACTGTATTTCTTTATTATATATAAAGAAAAGCTGTAATAGCCCAGAGGTTAGAATGAATCCAATATTCTAGCAACATCGCACATCATTTGCAACTCTTATTACAAGGAACTGTTATGGTTTTATGAAAGCCCAGTGCATGAGGATTGGGGAAATGTGTATGCCGATTTTGCAATCATCACCCAGTGTATTTTGGGATAAAACGAAAAAGACGCCCCAAAATTAGCTTTTTTCCCTTGCAAATGAAAATCTTGTGATTGTTTTTTTTTTTTACTGAAAATCTGCCAATTAGTGCGATCCATGATTAGAAATAACATAACATGATTGTTTACATCAGGAAAGTTTTTTGTTTAGGATTTAGGAAATCTAAAAAAGGCAAAATTAACTGAATAATTGTTTTTGCTCATAATTATAAAAAATACATTATTGATAATGTAAGTGATCAATAAGTGTGATCTATAAAACCTACAAGAAGGCAAAATGCATGGTTATCAGCAAAATGATGCGCCCAAAATGCAAATAACAGGTCGGGGATACTAAAATCAAGCCAGTACAGAAATTTAAATATCTGGGAAGTGTTCTAACGGAGGACGGAAAGTGCGACACTGAGATCCGAAGATACTAAGATCCAAAAGCTAAGCAAAGTATTAAGAGACAGAAAAATTTCTGATCTGTTACGTGATAGGCAATGAGTTCCGAAGACGTATTGTGATGGCCAAAGATGCCTTCCAAAAGCTAAGCAAAGTATTAAGAGACAGAAAAATTTCGTTGGAAACAAAGAAAAGAGTACCAAATTGTTATGTGATATCTGTCATCCTGTATGGTAGCGAATGCTGGACAATCTCCTCAAAGATAAAAAGAGACTTGAAGCAACAGAAATGTCGTTCTACGGAAAGATGCTGAGGATAACTTGGGCTAAACATGTGAACAACAACGAGGTTTTGGAGAGAATGGAAACCAAAAGGAAATTTATTCTTAACATCAGGAAGAAACAGTTGAAATTTCTGGAGCATGTAATGAGGAAGAATGGCTTGGAAACCCTGATAATCACGGAACAGTTTGAAAGACAGCGGAACAGAGGAAAACAGCGCGTAACATGGTCTTGAGAAAATGGATGACAGAACAGGATTTGGTAGAAATAACAAAAAGACAAAACTTATTTAGGGACACGAAGAAGTGGAGAGCCATGATCATCTACGTCCTTAAGGGACACAGCACATAAAGACAAAAGAAGAAGAGGAAAAAACGTATCAAACTCCGCCAACCTTCATCAGAATTGCATTAATCTTAATTCTGTACAAAAAAAAAATCGTACAAGTGTAAATTATGAATATAAAGAAAGGAACAAAAGTTAGTGAGAAAATGCGCGTCTTTTTGGTGCTGACTTTATATGAGCATAAATAATTCACGGTAAAAGACTTTTGATTAATTTTACTGTCTGGATAAACTTCCGATCCGAAACTAATAACTGAATCAATAAAATGCAAAATCAAATACATGTTTGAGTGAATTATAAATCGAAATAATCAGAATCCTACTCTTGAATATTTTTGTCATCGCATCTCTCTGATAATAAAACTGCTGCAAAATCTATTAGCATCAATGAAGTTGAGCAGATGATTTTAAAGATTGAGGTATCAGCGGTGCTATCACTGATATTATTTGGACTGTCGATTTACATCTGGACTTATATTCACTCGTTTGATCGAAGCATTTAATTATAAGACATTTAATCATAGCAGAAAGAAGTGATGGTATGTCTTGAGGAACACAAGGATCGTTTATTGCAAATGTTTTCATCATTTGTCAATGATCTCGACGGTTGCCCTATCCGTCTCCTTATTAGCGATTCAATTCACTGGCCGATTTCTAATGCTCTCTCTCTCTCTCTCTCTCTCTCTCTCTCTCTCTCTCTCTCACGTTATTCAACAAAGAAAAATCGGCGTAAATATTTCCAGCATTAAGATTAATAAATTTCTGAGCAAATCCTACCACTGACACACCGCAATGTTCATCACTCTCCCTATAGAAGGTTATTACTTTTGACAATGCTTCTACAGTCAGTTTCTTATTTATTAATTAGGAAGAATTCGTTAGGTCCAATATACATAGAGTAATCGATTTACACGCGGAAATTTTTCGGTGGAATAATGGATTGAGATTTGTCTATTCCTGAAAAATAAGTATAAGCCTTTATGAGCCGAAGGGAATGTGACCACAAGAAAGAAAATAAAAAAATAAATAACTCAATAAATCTATAAAATCTTTCAACAGTTATTCTTTAATATAAAATATTAAAAACAGATATATGTGAAAGTTTTATTGCATGCTGTACAGTTTTTTCCCAATTATCAATATTTACGAAATAAGAAAAATGATGTTTCAATTTTTAAAGCTCTTGCATTTACCTGAGGATCGTGTAAATCATCTTAGTAATTTATTAATTTATTCTTTTAAAATTTATCTTCCATTAATGTTTTATAAAAGGAGAAAGAATTGCACTTTATTATCGATTCTTCAGGATTTAGAAAATCGTTATTTGTGGTGAACATGAAATAGTGTTTATATATAGGAAATATAGAGAGGAATTTTTTTTAAAATACATAAGCACCAATATATAAAACATATCTGACATGTATTTCATAATCAAATGTGAACACCAAAAGAAAAAGTCCCAAACATAACGTGGATAATTATGTTTAATTTCGACATACCAAAGCTGTTCTGTCAATTTGCTGTTCTTTCAATAGCCTTCATTCGATTGTCTGGAAAATAATAATAAACTTTTTTAGCTTATAAACAGTATATAATCTAATAAGAGTATATAAACATGGACTGATAAAAAAAATCATCTTAATCAGGTTAAATTGAAATGAAATATACTTTTGGGACAGACAGACACTTATACAAATAATTAATAAAATTTAGTATTATGATTAAGCTAAAATTCAGGAAGTGATAAAATGCAAACGTGTAAATCTGGTACTGACTTTATATTGGACATTTGGTTTGTGAGAAATAAGAAAATTGGAGCAATTGGTACTTTCAGACGCACTGTTACCTCCGTCTTCAGTGAATGCGGGAGGGTAAAAAACTGAAAAGGTTGTATCCTGGTGAGACCTTTAAGTGGTGTGTTTATCGAAACAAATTCCTTTAACCGCTATTTAGAATCTTGAATAGGTTATATAAGATATTTCAGTAAACCGACTGCTTTAAGTGTAAAAGAAAGAAAATAAATATAAATTTGCAAAAATAGTTGATAAAAATAGTTGTTTGAAAAGTTGCCACTCCCCTTTTACAGATTCTTGAAGACTTTCGGGAAACAAAGTTGGAAAGTTAGGTATGCATTCCTGTCTTACCTCGTTAAGTTTTTTATTTCTACATAGCAGCAACTACCCATAGGCACAATTTATTTTGGTAGTCGGGAGCAGTTAATTAAAATCGATGTACAGAGGAGCAGCTTAATAAAAGAATTGACTGAATAAAAGTTTTATGCACTTATCTTACACAAAAGTCCTTAATGAGATATTTCATTATTTGTTAGAATTTATTATTTGTAGACAGAGGAAAATAAAACTGTTTCTTCTATTTAAACCAATGACTGGCCCAACTATGCCGAGGTTAGCAAGCAAAGCAACGATCCAGAGTAATCTTTTGCTTCTTTGTGAGAAAATTTAGTGTATCTGTCTGTGTCATTCACGTTATCTTTGGCTACCTTTCCATTAATACAAAGTGTTTTATAATTACCTAAAATATACGTTTTTCTCAAACTTACCTGAATCCAGACAAATCCATGAATAAAGATCAACCCTTGAACAACCTCTGTACTTTTTCTAATCAGTGCCAAGTCTTGTCTATTTTAATTAGCTTGGCAATTAGAAATCGTCTGGGATGTAATTTTTCTGGACCTGGTTCCTTTTATTATTGCTACTGGGTATTTTATCTGTATTCTAAGACAAACAATATTATTCAATTAAAACAATTATTCTTATCTTGCGAACATAATAACGCCGGTCAGTTTTAAAAATGTGATATCCGACGAATTGTTGTAAATACTTATTAAACTTGTCATTGGCATGATTTAGCCTATTCACGTTTTTGCGTCTTGTTTTTAAAGCTATAAAGTTTCATAAGAAGTTTTGTTATTTATCTAGTGTGCAATAATAAATAAATGAACCTGACAGTTATACAATTATATTTATGGTGTCTTGAAATCACATTCACCAGAAGGGAATTGACAGGTCAATTTATTATTAGTTATTCTAACAAATACACAGAGAATATTTTTTTAAAATATTGAAGACATTTTTATTTTCTATTTTTATTTTTTATTTTGTTTTTCTTTTAGACACCAAGAAAACATCCAAGCAAGTTTTATTTCACTGACAAAGTCTGTCTGTTCAATTTTTAATATATCTCTCCCATTTTCGAATGAGATATAACATTTGGATGGAATTTATGAATAAATTTTAAAGTTCATAGTTTTATTTCTGATATATTCAATTACTTTCAACAGTCAGAGTTATTGTCAGAACTGGGGGTGATCCGTATAGTAAGCAAAATATTCTTGACTAAATTCTGACGGTTTTAGATTACTAGAATTGAAATTCGAAGATATGATAGGAACCCTTTTCTAACACGAAACTATAAATATTTTATCTTTTTTTCTATGAAATCTTGAAGAGAAAACTTATCATTTTAGATGAAATTTTGCTATGTTTCCCCATCTGATCTTTATTGATTTTGAAAAATGTATTAATCTATATTATTTATAAAGTTACCTCACAGCCTATTTTCAAATCCAGGAAATCGCATGTCTCTACAATAGAAAATTATATACCTGCTATGTTGACCACAAGTATAGAAACTGCCTGGTTGCTTGTTCAATGAATGACGAATGTTTTCTTATAAGGAAATAACTAATATATATACATATATATATATATATATATATATATATATATATATATATATATATATATATATATATATATATATATATATATATAAGGAAATAACTAATATATATATATATATATGTGTATGTGTGTGTGTGTGTGTGTATAAACATGTATATTGTTGGGGAGAGGGATTGGCATTTTCAAACTGTGTACAGATACTATAATTTTATCTTAGGCAGAAAACCGAGAAGCGATTCTTCTATCCGAGACTGAGCGCAAAGATGCCTCATTTTATTTTAGTAAACTGATTTTCATAAAATATTCCTTCCTATATGCATAAGCCATTGTTAATATCTTCTATTTTCATAATTTTGTGACCTTGACCCATACTAGCTTCATGTGTCTATGATTGATCCTGTGTATGCTCTGTTTCGTGAAGAAACGGGGGTTCGTTTTTGCTGGCGGCGAATCCAATTAGCAGAATTCTCAATTTAAATCTAAGTACATACATGCACACACACACACACACACACATATATATATATATATATATATATATATATATATATGTGTGTTACATTTTAGCAAGAGAAGTTTCTAAAATAATTGTCTTAAAAACGGATTTCTTCTCTGCCTTCAGGTAAAAAGAATGAACACTCTGGATTTCAAGTTACTTTTTTTTAACTTTTGTTACGAACAACAATGACTAATTGTTCGCTTAGAAATCTCGATGCCTTCCTTTAAGTATTATTTTCCCTAAATCAAGATATCCATTAACAGTGTATGATTTTGAATCAATTTCACACATAGACATTTTAATAATTATCTCACTGTGTATGCTTTCTTACAAGAATATCTGGAAGTCTCAAAACTAACATCGGTGATAATTGCATTACAGTTGTTTTGTTGGCTAAATTTCATGCCAATCTCTACAAAACAATTTCCCTTAGGTTATATCTTGTTTTGTGCTTTTCCAATGAAGTATACTTCCTTCACCTTCTTTTAATCACGTATGTCCTTTCAGAACATACGTGATTATATCTCTCCACAGATTTTTCATTATTATCTATGATCTACCATGCATTTTGCGGGAGAATTAGTGGAGTGGTTTCCCTTTGCTTTCTGCATGGTTTGGAAGTCATTCCTTTTTTATTCTCTAGTAATTGTCAGACGAGTCTAGAGATTCCAGCCTACCCTGGTATTTTAAACTATAGCTATAGGAAAGAAACAGATTAGCATTTGTACAAAAGTGAACCCAACAGACTAATCCGACTCGCAGATTCCGTTTTTCGCGCTGATATCCTTTACACTACCCACACGCTCTTTCTTCGAATACAAAGTATTTTACAGCAGATTTGTATTTAATTTTGAAGAAAATATTTCATTTCACATGGCTAACATAAGCAAAAACAAAACTCGGCATTTCTTTTATCCTGTTTTTTTTTTTTTTTTATATATATTTTAATTTGAAGTTTACTATTTCCTTCTATAATTTTTCCCAAACAGAAAAAAGTATTGTGTTTGTTTCAATCGCATAAATGTTTTGAATGCAATAATTCTACAAATACTCACCATTTTCAAACGCGGTACAAATTCTAAAACATTTCTAGAATGGGGATCAAGTATCAGTTCAGATAAAATTTCTTCATTGAAATAAAAGAGAAACGAATCAGGTGAGAGATTATGTTCTACAGAAGAATGCTGAGAATACCATAGACGGAACATGTGTGCATTAGGGAAGTTTTAAGGCAAATGGAAACAAAAAGGAAATTTTCACTGAGAATCAGAAAGTGATACTTGAACTTTCTGGGATATAATAAGAAAAGAGTGGATTGGAGAATTTGATACTCGCAGTACTTACTGAAGGCAAGAAGATTATAGGTAATCAGCAAATAAACCTACCTAAGATTTTGTAAATGAAATAGGGAGAAGGACTTATAGTAAGGATGCAAAGATTGCTAAGAGCTACACGAAATAAGAAGTTGTGAAGAGTTGTGGAGAGCCATGTTGACCGTCAACTTAAAATGAACACGAAACATTAAAGATGATACGGCGAAGATTAAAGTCATTGTAGCTTTTCTATTTTTATTTTTTAAGTTACGTTTTGTCTATTTTAATATGCAATTTAAATACTGTAAAGATTGTATTTATTTATAGTAGCATTATCATTTTATGTAGATATATACATATGCTGAAAATATATTATTAGTGATAAGATATATGAAAGGGAGATAGTGTGTGTAGTGATAGTATTTTGGATGCATGTTTTCTCAAAACGAAGATAGGAAGTACATTTTCCCCTGTCTTAGTGCAGAGTTACCTTAATGAAAATCTACCAGGAAGTTGGATCGGGGCGTGCCAGTGATAATCACAATATGCTATTGAAATGGCCACCACGTTCAACTGACTTGACACCTTGTGATTTCTTTCCATAGGATTATGTGAAAGGATAGATCTATATTGACCCTCTTCCAGAAGCCTAGAGGAACTTAATCAAGAAATCACTAAGTTACTGGAGAGTGTTATACAAGATATACTACAGCGTGTTTGGCAAGAGCTGGACGATCATCTGAAATGTACAATCTTCTACTTTAACTTTTTATTTTGTTTAATCTCTAATCTTCACTCTTAACCTTTTGCAATGTCTTAGCCAAGAAAAAACTTTTAGAAATTGATTGTAATGCAATATATTCTAACCTTAATGAAAGTTTCGTTTTCAGCTTACCCCGAGTGAAATTTTCAATTCTATTAGATTTGCATTTAGACTATAATAGGGAAACGGTTAATTTTTATGGAACAGGTTTTCTTGTAAGATTAGTAAAAGCATTACGTATATCCTAATGAGTGGGGTTCGGCGCCATTAATGAATTTGATGTCGCTCAATTTCTATCTATGTTGAGTCAATAGTATTCTAGACGAATGCATTACAAACAATGTCGAAAAAGTATGGAAATAAATAAATTAATCTTCGTATCCTAAAGAAGAAAGGTTTTTGAGTAGCAATTTATTTTTCGACATAATGACTCTCTTTTCGTCAATGCGCTTTATTTAGTGGTGGATAAATGAACCGGACATTATACAGTGAAAATTTTAGATCAACCTTCAATTAATAAGTATGTGTTATACTGTGGAGTTATTGATCTCAGTGCTTTAAATATTAACAGGTGTTGAGGAGAAACTGTGAAAGATGACATTTAAATTTAATACTAATGTTTAATATTTTATTGGACAAAAAACGTTGTACGGTGGAGTAATGGATAGCGGCTGGAATTGAGGAATCGGAGAGCTGAGTTCGAATTCCAGTCAAATCCATTATATTCACTTACTCTTGGGAAAGGTATGAATCCTCTTCTTCTACCCCCAGCTATAGGTAAATACCGGATTCTATAGCCTTGGATGGCAACTGGTCTACCATAGAAAGAAATGGCAACCTACTGCGGGAAAAATTTGCGTCGTCAACAGGCAATTATGTATCTTTCGATACATGAGTGCCTAAGCGTGTATCATGCATGACACATAACTGACTGAAGGAAATATTGGAAGAAATGTTTGATACAAGATTTTCTATGATTGGAAAGTTAAGTTTTCATTTGCAAGACTCTGAATCGCAATAATTCTTTATTATTGGTGATCTTCAACCATTTCCTTTTGTTGTTACTATTTATTTATCTGTTTACATAACATGACAATAAATGCTGCCTTTATAAGAGGCTTTCATCCAACTGTATAATTTACGTGCACACTAAGTATTGGTTATTATTGAGCCTTATTCATATTACATTATCTAACATTATAGATGTATTCTTTTCGATCGTACAGTGGCTATTTCCCCCGCTTTCTTACATAGTGATTTTTTATCATCTCTTATTTTCTGTGTCGTTGCTTGCTAATAAATAAAATTATACCCACTCTGTTTTTGCAGAGCTGACCTGAAGAGAGAAAAGAGCAGTAATTGTAAAACTTAAAGTATATCTGTATTTTTACATCACATAGTCGACATACCTATTTTCCTTCCTCAGTAGAAATTTTGCTCTGTCTGTCGATTTTGACATAACATTGAAGATCACGATATCATATTTAATGCTACCCGTCATTTTTTTTACTATAAACTGACTGCGTATAAAAAGTTTGCGCACGAAAAAAATGAAGCTGCCTGCAAGTTTCTATTTAGATTCATCTTGACTACTCGTGAAAACATCTGTACTTGTATATTCTGTATGAGACTTTTTTAATGTTTCAATTTTATTGCTTGTCACTGTCTCAATTATTTCCGGCAAATCTAATTGTTTAAATGTTTTTGCAACCATTTTTGAAACTGTACTGTCTAGCGATAATACTACAGACGCGCATTATTTTGTCACATTTTTCAGAACTCTTCGGCTTTAACGTCACTCAATATTCGCAAACTGTTTCTATGTGCGAGAATAGCAACTGCTTTTCATATTTTTTGTGTGTAAAATATTTGCACGTGAGTCACTGGTACAGTTGATGCTGATACTTGAAAAAAGGGTCGGTTTCTAGTACCTCCCCAGTAAGTACCTGACAACTTCCGCCAAGCTTTATCCTTTATCTTTACAAAAGTCAAATCAAACCAAAACTAGAGTATTGCTATCATATCAGATCTGGAGCTGCCCAATTCTCACTTTCCAGGCCTCACAAAGCTCAAAAGCATTCAGGCATCCTTGGGGGAGAAATGACTTATTTTCCACCATAGAACATCACAAGCCTATAACAACTCTATCTATATTTCCATGGCAAATGTTCAGAAGTGCTGCATTCCTTAATTCTGCCTATTCAGATATTCACAGCTAAGACCCACCATGTCACATTGAATCATCCTCATATCCCCTTCAAATACCATTGGTCAGAATGAAGTTTCACTTAGCTTCTTCCTGATAACCGCTCTTTTGTGGAACAGGCACCCGAGATGATGTTTCTCCGATCACTACAATTTTAATCTCTTTAAGTCTATGGCCAATTGTTATTTATCCTACATATCCTTATAATCTACAATTATTTCATCCATTTACAACTATACAACAACCTCATTCAGTAAACTTTTAGCTTGATTAGCTTTTGAAATTTGTATTGCTTGAATATTTAGTTAAAAAAGTATGTCTATCTGTCTCGAGAAAGACACATCATCGTGTTTTTTGTTTTTTTGGTTTTTTTTGTTGTTGTTGATTTTTTTCTCAGGTTATCTTCTTATCATTTGTTAATATCGTCGATTCTAAATTTTTTGACACATTCAATCATTGTCTCCGTTTTAGTAATGTCATAATCATTTATAGCTAGTTTTCTGCATTCACAAATGACATGGACAGATAGCAAGTTTATATAACATATATCATTGTAGTTTGCATAAATCCTTGTGGAATCCATTTTCAGATAAAATATGTTAAATGATATTAAGAAAATTTTAAAGATTCACTTAAGTGGGTTTCTCTGATATTTTTTTTCGATCACACAATGTCTCAGTTGATCTTCTGTTAGTGTGGGTTGTGGTTAATGAAAATAGGCGTTATACCAAAGTCCAAACATCCTTATAAATAGCCTGTTTATTTGCCTGTTTGTTTGTTTAGTGGCAAATCGACACTTTATGGGTCATTCAATGCCGAAATTTAATTTTCTTGGGAGCATTAGTAATTTCTTTTACAGAATTGTATTGTTTGTATTTTTTACTATGAATATGTATTGCAATTAAGAGATGGTTCTACGCTCCTTAAAATCCAAAACTTCCCGATCTTGCTGCCGGTTGTAGTTTATCTTCATACCCAGGACGGTATAAAAGAACCTGGATAATCTGTAGTTGTACGAGATAATAGTATTCATGTATCGGTGTAGTTAGCCGTTGTCTTTATATTCTCTTATTCCTTCTCTCATCTTTCTTTGTTTCGCACTTTATATTCTCTCAACTTTTTTGAAATCCTTTTTATCTTTTTTCGTTCTCTTGTTAAGTCTTATGATCCGATTCTTCAAATGTTCTTCCGATTATCATTTCAAATAAATTCGAACTTCTTTCTTCATCACGTGAACTTCTTTCTATTCTTCTGACATTATTTTCCCAATTTTTCTTTTTTTTTTCTTCTCCTCGTCAATAACTTTTCCCTTCTCTTTTTCTTCTTCTATTCCCCCCCTCTCCAACCTACTTTCTCGTTATTTTTTTATCTCTTCTTCCTTTTCTTTTTGTCTTTCTCCATTTTTGTCACTTCTTTTTGTCTTTCTCCATCGTTCTATGCCCTCTCTTCAGATTTTACACTTTTTTATTTGTCATGACACTTATATTCTCTCTACCCCCCTCCTCTCTCTCTCTCTCTCTCTCTCTCTCTCTCTCTCTCTCTCTCTCATCTTCTTTTCCGGAAATCCTATTCTTTTTTTCACACTTTCCTATTCCTCCTCTATTCCTCCTTTTCCCTTTTCTTATATTTCTCTCCCCACCTTCCTTTGTATCCATTTGTGTTCTTTTTTCTCCTTTCTTTTAGATCATTTATATTTGCAACCTCCCAACAGTCATTATCATTAATCTCAATAAAATTTAATTCATCTTTCTCTAAAATTATTTCCAAGCATCCATACATTTGTGTAATTTTTCAACTTCGTCTTTATGTAGTTGCCTCTCTTTCAGGGGAACTCTCGTTTGTTCTGAATTTATTGCATCGAATGTGGTGAAAAGCTTCCGTTTAAGCCCACAAGCAGAGAGTGTAACAAAGAGCGTTGAAATCTTCTGTTCAGTTCTCAAAAAGCTTTCTTAAGCAACTGTTTCGATTTACTTCAGAAAAAGAAAAATATTTTTGTCGATAAGGGAAATCATTTGATGTACGTCACGACACCACTATTTCGATTTGAGGAAAATTTTAAGCGTTTTTCTTTTCTCCCAGAGAAATCCTGTTATGGATCTTCAGGCCAGAATTTGTATTGATGAAGGTATTTAATTATTGTTGTTCAAATTTTCTTGATTGTCCCTGCAAGGTTTTTGTATCTTTGATTCGTTCGTTGAGTTCGGATTTTGGTTTTCTGAAATCAGAATTACTCTTCAGAAAAACAATTGACAATATTTACAATGGTTACACGTTTTACGTTAGACGAATAAAGATTGTTCGTCATGCAATTCCTAAATACACAATCTTCCATACTAAATTCTAAATTCTAAAGAAATAAAATTGAAATAGGAAATTATTGAAGGAGTTGATAAGGATGATCATAGTCTTGTTGGTCGTGGTGATGGTGACCAGGATTCATTGTCATTTCTGGTATGCAGTTTCGTCGTTCATTCGGTTACAAAGAAGCGCATCATTTTGATCGAAACGTCGACATCTTTATACCAAAGAGATTGAAAGTAAGCCTTCATTTTTAAATTTCAATTTGCTTAAGGGTGTAAATTTATGAACTGAAATCGAAAAGGTAGAATGCACTTGTTCCAAGTGACTTTGGGGAGGAATTCATGGATTATATAATTCTGTAATTATCATTATTAATAACAGCCTTTTTTTTTTTTGTATGATTTGTGCTATTATTTTATGTGTAAATAGATAAAATAATAGTAGTAGCAGTAAATAATGCTTTAATATTTATATATATATATATATATATATATATATATATATATATATATATATATATATATATATATATATATATATATCCTAGACCACTCTAACGTTTTCGCCTTATAGAACTTGCGTTGGTTTATGTGCCTTATAGAACTTGCGTTGGTTTGTATTAAGGCTGGCATATATTATTATAGGAAAATTAATAAATGCATATATTAATATATGCATTTATTAATTTTCCTATAATATATATTAATATATATATATTGATTAATTTTCCTATAATATATATTGATATATACATATATTAATATATATTAATATATTCATTTATTAATGTTCCTATAATATATATTAATATATACATTTATTAATATATATTAATATATGCATTTATTAATTTTCTCATAATATACATTAATATATACATTTATTAATTATTCATCATTGATATCGACGTTATTGTGGATGTGAGGGTGACGTAAAGTTTATCTTTGCTGAAAATAAAATCGGCAATTACATTCTTTTCGCACTAATGTTCTTGGCAAAGTTATGAATCTAACTCTTGTTGACCCGTCTAGGGGTTAAATAACACAGCACATTATGTTTCCTGGAGTCCAATCACTATGTGTGGTAATGTCCTAGACCACTGTAACGTTTTCACCTTATAGCACTTGTGTTGGTTTGTGTTACAACTTATAAGGCTGGCATATCTTCCAATGCAAATATTGCTCTTCCCCATCATTAAGTTAAACTCATATAGGCTAGAGTCGAACGCTCAGATATCAACTGATCGGTTGTTTGTACAAAAGCGCCCATTTGTTATCTTTCTTATTCATTAAAATATGTAGGTGGTCGAATCATGTTGGTATGATGTGATCTTGATCGGCTAAGCTGAATCACCCTGGTTCAACAAACACTGATCGACTAGTTTTTCGTCAGCCTCAGATTCTGGTGCATGCAGTGAGACTATTGGGAGTTTTTCTTCCCATTTGATTATCAAGTTATGCTCTTATTCTTTGTTTTTTTCTTTGATATTTTTTCCTGTATTTTTGGTATTTCACCATCTGTTTAATACTTTATCGTATAGCTGCATATCTTTAGCATTCTGTGATAATTGTATGTACAGTTTTGCTGAATTTATGCTGGTGAAAGGCTTTAGCACACAATCGTTGTTTAATTCAAAATATCTTTCAAGACCTTTGGTTGTTGTCTTGTATGTCAGTTCTAGTTGGGTTATTCCTCTTCCTCTATCTGCTCTCTCCAAGTACAATCGATCAGCATCTGCTTTAGAGCGGTGTATATTATACAGGGTAAGGAGCTTTCTCGCCCTTCTATTCAGTCTTCTTTTCTAATTTTTTCTTTCCATGTTGCATTCGTTGTCCATCATTAAATTATTACCTGAACTCGTTTGCGAATCAGAGTTTGTCACATTGTTTTTTCATTGTTTGTACTAATGTATCTCTTTTGAAGGTTGTTTTATCACATTTTCTAGATCAAATTCCATGCTGATATTATCACTAAATTCCTTTTATTGGGATTAACAAAGGCCCTAATTCATTACTACTTCTCGAAAATAGTTTGAAGTTGTTCATATAGAATAAGTCATTAATGTATCTATCAGAGATCTGATAACCATAATTTATGTTATTTATTTCAGTTGCTACGACTATTAATGCAATATAGAACGATAGAAGTAAAAGGAATTTTCTTTGAAATATTCATCTCTTGATCTGACATTGATATATCTAATATCTCGACCCTAATCTTAGGCGGTTTGTTAATAACCATTTGTCACTCTCTTTGTTTTTTTTTTTAATTATCTGTCCTTTATTTCTGTAAAAATAATGGTATTTGAGGACGGACAGCATAAATATAAACTTATCTCAAGTTTAGGAATCAGATGTCTTCTTTGTTTAAAAGAACTTGGATCATTCTTTCCTTCAAGAATATACAAGTTTTGGACAGATATTATGAATGTAAACAAACCCGTGAATTTAATTTCTCAGGATGAAAAGATTCGAACGACACATTAATCAAGTCTTCTTCATCCCGGTGAGAAATGGATCGGATGGGCAACGGTAGTTTTGCTTAATTTTACTGAATCTTGGCTAGCTATTTCTGGATTCGACTCTCCTTGAAACAGTTAAGTTCATTTTATTATTTAAAACATCATTCTTGACACGTTTCTTTTCCATTTTTTCTCTATCATTTTCCCCAATCACCTTAGAATTTGAATAATTTTTATGCAGTTAGTAGTCCCCCACAAGTCACCATCTTGCAATTTTATGCAATTAGACTTTTAAACAAGGTCAGTGCCCTGTTAAAGTATCCGTAAACCAGATTTACCATTGAGACATACGTTTTACCTGAAATGATGTATTTTATGTTTTTCCTTTTTTTTTTCCTTTTTTTTTTTTTTGTGAGTTTTCATTTTTGTGCTTATTGTACTTCCATAATGTCTATGTTACTCCATTCCTGTTCTGTATTGCTTTCATTCATTCTGCGTCATTTTTATAAATTTTCTCAATTCTTCAGCGGATGAAGTTTTTTCTCTAAGCATCATTATTTTTCCAATTCCCCCTGTAGAATTTTTTTGGCTATATTTGAAAATGTCTTGTAAAATTTAATTCTTCTCTGTTTCTTTACGATTTTACCTTTCCGACTTATTCATACTGATTTTTATTCAATGGTTAAGACGTTGTCTTACTCGGTTTTCGTATTGATCTTATTAATGGTGCTTCAAAGTATATCACTTCCTTTAGACTGGTGAAATTAAGATCAATTTCACTTATTATTTTAATGATTGCTTTGTTTATTTGATCTTGTCCAATTTTACTCTTTCTTCAATTTTAATCCCTTGTGTTTTATCAATTCTTGTTTTTATTTTCATTTCTTCGACTTCCAAATTATCTGTGCCGTTTTCTTTCCATCTTAATTGATTTTCAGGTTTCACATTTTCTTCTTGTCCATTTTAAAATAGCTTTTATTTGGACTTGAATTTGTATTATAAATCATCACATCGATTTGTTTTTACATTTTCCGTATTTTCATTTCCAGTAATCTTTAAATCACTAGTCACTTCTGTTTTAAAATTTTCTTCTACTTGAGCAAGTTCTGCATTTGTCAATCGTTTTTCATTAATAAGGTTTCCTTTGCCATTTGATAATTTAGTAGCGTCTCTATTTTTCCTGATGTTTGGGATTTTTCTTTCCCACATTATTATCGCTATATTCTGAACGATCGAACATATTACTATGTTACATAGTAATACGTTTGCCTAAACGCTTTCTAGGACTCTCTATTCCATTCTATTGTTTTTCTTTTGCTTTCTGTTTCGTACAAAATCTCTTTATCGTATTGGGAGTGTACGGGTAGTGTAATCGATATCGACAGGCAAGCTGAGTTTAAATTCTGAGTTAGCCTTTGTATTCCTGTTCGCACTAATACAATTTAAAAATGCATAGATCTCCCAACTCTGGATCAAATAGCAGAGTAGATAACCATCTAAGAAAAATGAAAATGTGAATTTCAAACCTTTGAGAAGGCAGTAGAAGACACCTTCACTTAACAAATACAGTGTTTATATTTTTTTACATTGATAATTCCCTCCTGAGAAAATGAGCAATTTCAACATTTTGAATATCTTGTAAACCAGAGAGTACCAGAGAACTTGGTAATAGTCTTGTCTGTAAAGTTTTAATCGTACACCTGTATCCAATTATTATAGGTATAGCAATAATTTTAAGGTGCAGTATATTTCTTAATATTGCAGTTTGAAGATCTTTATATCTTTGAATATGTATTTTTGTCGGGTGGCATTACGGTATCCATAAGACGCCATTATTATTATTATTATTATTATTATTATTATTATTATTATTTCAACATAGGTATTTGGAGATTGAGTGAAAGCAAGTGTATTCAAATCTCCGGTTCCCTCCTTAGTATCCATGCAGACCTCAGTAGCGCCATCTCATGAGTAGTCTAAATTATTTCTCGGATTTCTGAGTCATCTAACCTCACTTTTAATTTTTGGTGCACAAACCTCAATGCGCCAACTATTCAAGGCACAGCTCTAGGGCAAGAAGCTCGGGACGGAGGTAAAACAGCAA